CAGGCTTCGCGTTGTGCTCTGGCGGCGTGTGGGAGACGGCCGGGCCGCGGGTCTCCGGCCTGGCCCTTCGGCCGCGTTGGTGTCGGTAGCTGCGGGCTCGGGCACTTCTAAAGTAGATCCCAGCTGCTTGCGGACTCGTTTTGCTTGAAACGGGCATCTCCTCGCCAGCCGTTCTTTAATTTGATTTTTTTTTTTTAAGAGAGATCAGAGTAAGGCTAAACCCTCAAATACCCGACGGAAATAGTTGAGTTAGATGAAAACAAAAGCACTCGAGACCGTATTTCAGTGTATGTCAGCCACTGAGGAGTCATTCAATGGGTGAGATGTGGCTAGTCTGGTGTAGGAATCCCCGCATTGTCTGAGAAGCAGATGGGAAAATACGTGTTAATATCTGTTAAGTGCAGAAATGTCACGTCCTTAATTAATTTTCAGCTGAAGACAGTATGTTGAAAGCAGTGATTGATGTAAAAAGTGCATCGCTTTCTGTTCCTGTAAACAATTTTTTTAATATGTAGTGTTTCCTTAATTTAATCTTCCAGATCTCAGCTTACGATAAATACCGCAATTGTTTACATGCACAGGTTTTATATGCATCATTCCTTCACAAAATTTAATCGGAATGTGAGTATGATTTTATATGTGGTAATAACATGCCCATTATTTTGGCAGTCTGACTGGCAAGTGTTATATTCCTTTGCTGGATTGTCGAGTTTGGTCTGTAGGCATTCTAGTTTCTTGTCGGTGGTTTAGAAGCAATAGTGATACTTCTTTTCAACTTTGAATTGTTTTAACTGGTGGCAATTCGATTTTCTCATCTGCCATAGAAATAAAAAATTATGCACTGTTAGCAAACACATTTCAACTGTGTGAAGATTGCGTTTAGGTGTTTCAGATCTGGCTAGTGCTTGGTGTGCTGTAGTTTGAAAGGCTGATGTGTAGGAACGCTTTTTTTTAAGTCAGTGATAGTGCTAGCATGGTGTGTCTGGCAATTATATGGTTATGGGTGTATCCATATGGATTATGTATCTGTTCTCAAAAAACAGTGTAAATTCATTTAACTGGTCTAGTCGTAAGCAGCATGATAACTCATATTAGACAAGAAAAATATTTAAATCTGATGAGAAAATGCCAGCTCTCCTGTTCTAACTAATGAACTGAATATGCTGAA